AAGCGCAGATGGGGGGGAGGTCCTGCTGTCGGTTCTCCCTGCTTTGGGGTCACCTGCTTGTCACGAATGTGGGTTGCTTTTCTAATTTGAAAACAACAGTAAAGTGAAACAATAAGAATGTGGGCTTCTGGCCTCAGGGATGCCTTCCGGCCTGACAGGGAAACGCACCAGCCCTGGGAATCCGCTTTTCTGATCTGGCCCCGGCGCCCAAAATTCAGGAGGCCAAGCGCAGAGAGGAGCCCAAGAGCCGTGGAGGGAATTCTGGCCCCATCCTTTGGCATCCTCCCCTCACAGGGCCCCTGCCCTGTGGTCCTGTGTGAAGTCCTGTCTCCAGCCCTCTAAACTTTGCTTGTATATTTGCAGATTTTTCAATCTATGACACATCTGAGAATTTGCAGATGTGTAGAAGACCTTTTTAAAAAATAAAATCTTCTCCTTATGTTATCCTTTAGGGCAAGGGTCCTCAAACTATGGCCCGTGGGCCACATGCAAATACAAATATTGTATTTGTTCCCATTTTGTTTTTTTACTTCAAAATAAGATATGTGCAGTGTGCATAGGAATTTGTTCATAGTTTTTTTTTAAACTATAGTCCGGCCCTCCAACGGTCTGAGGGACAGTGAACTGGCCCACTGTTTAAAAAGTTTGAGGACCCCTGCTTTAGGGGTTAAGATTAGGTTTTAAAGCTATAGGAATTATGACTCAAGACTTAGAGACCACATTCTTCTAGCAGAATAACAACAACACACCACAGACTGGCTGAGGTGACCAGGAGTGGCCCGTGCACAACAGCAGGTATGGCAGCACCCCTGGCCTCTACCAGATGCCTGGGGCTTCCCCAAGCAACAATGTTTCCAGACATTGCCCACCGTCCCCTGGGAGGGAGGCAGAGTGGCTGGAGTAGGGAGGAGGATGGAAAGGCGGAGCTAGAAAAGACTTTAGGACCAACTTTCATAGCAACAATTCAACACACGCAGACCTGAAGAGCCCTGGCCAACAGTGAGCGCCTCTGCAGAACCCAGGCCCTTCCCTGTCACATCTCCAGATTCTTTAGGGCAAATAACACCTGGTTTCGATGCTATAGATCTGTCAGTGTTTGGAAATATCGTGAGGTTGGAAAATAGTAGAATCATGCTATTGTTACTGTTGTTGGATTAACGATAAAAAGTGTCCAGATCGGCAGTGTCTGCCGGAGGAGATAGTGAAACATGGACCCTTGAGATTCCTTGGATATTATGGGAAATTATTTTGTTCCTGTGAGCAGAGTTGTAAAATGGGCAACCCACATCGGGCCCAGGAATGTGTTTGGTTTGCCCCACACAATGTTTCAAACAAATAATTTGAGTCCCCATTTTAAAATTAGGAGACCTCAGCTAAAACCACTGGTTGTGTCCTCTCTTGAAAGATCAGGTTTGGACCCACATTTCTGCACAGCCTCCGCGAGTGGGAGAGAGCCATCCCATAGCACACATGTGCTAGTGTGCCGCAGTCCCCACCTCTCCCTGCTGCCTCCAAGGCACTTTCTTATACTTAACTCTCTTCTGCATGGAGAGGCATCTTCTGAAGGTACAGCCTCTGTTACAATGACCCCTAATCATACCAGCAGGACATTGAAGTGAATCACAGAACCAAGACTTGAGGGGAGCTCCCCATCTCATGCACCTTCCCCCATACGCACATGGGGGCCCTGGCCCGGGAAGGCGGAGGGACTTGTCTGAGAACTGTGCTCAGGGGCATCCCTGCCCTCAGCACCCTGTTTCCCTCAGGCCATTGCTGACCATTGAATCCCAGGACGCACCTCCGACCACTCTCCTGTGATCCAGATGTACTCGCAGGGCTGCAAACTACAGCTCTCACGGTCCGCAGGCCGCTTGCTGGGGTCGCAGTGCCCGCCGTGCACCTCGCCGCCTTTGTCCTCATCCACACACAGCACCCTGCGGTACCTGGTGCCTTCGCCGCAGGTCCTGGTGCACTGCCGAAGACAAGCAAAGAGGGATGGTGTGCAAGGGCATGGAACAGTGATGTCCTGTTATCCTATATGTGATATGCTACCTACTGTGTATAGAAGGAGAGCTGCTTGCTCGTTTCCCTGGCCAGCACCCCTTTAAGACTGAGACCCTGGGATGAGCAGGGGTTACCCGCAGCAGCCGGTGTGCGGCTGCCCGCAGAGGAATGGGATGGGGATGATGAATTTCAGGTCTGCAAAGACCTAACGGTCTGTTTACTTCGAACACCTACACTGCTCAAATATGGAATGTATTTAAAACAATGGCCAAATGGTTTTCAAACTATTATTTAGTCACTTCCCTGACTCAAGAGGTGACTGAATACTTCCCAAGTCAGGAAAGTCATTACCTGTCCACATGGCCCATTTCATCTAGAACCAGGACTAAATGGCTCTCTGCGGGTTCCAGCCTCTCTTCCTGGTGGCCCATTGGAGGCAGCAGGGAGGACAAGTTTCATTTCTCACCAGTGACCCCTCCAGGGCTCGAGGAGAGCACTCCTGTGGCCCTACGGCCCTTTCTTCTCCAGGTGACCTGCTCATCTGGTCATTCAGCAAATAATCACCACGTTCCCAATCAGGGCCAGGCCCTGGGCCGGTTCTGGGTGACTGAGAATGGATAGGGTGGTGCGGAACCCTGCTCTCCCGCAGGAGCGCGTGTATTTCAGTAGCAAAGCCGGGCGTGATCGGCTGAGGGAGCCGGGGAGTGAGTGAGCAGGTGCTATGATCTCCATTTTCAGATGAAGAAACGGGGACCTAGAAAGCCCATATAATTTGCTCCAGGTCACACATCTCTCTGTGAGGAGGAGGGACTGATCATTGTATTCTCAGGAACCAAGCGAGGAAACAGAGCAGCTGGTATGTGTTGTCCTGGGATGACCTATCTCTATGCTGTCCATTTGAGTTCGGGAGCCAATTTCCCTCAAAATTCTTTCCTGAGAAAAATGGACAGATACATGCAAAAGAAGAGAAACTGGACCACTTTCTTACACCAGAATAAACTCCCAGTGGACTAAAAACTTAAACCTAAGACCCCCAAACCATAAAACCCCAGCAGAAAACATAGGCACTAAAATCTCTGACATTTCTCTTAGCAATGTGTTTCCTGGTATATCTCCTTGGGCAAGGGAAACAAAAGAAAAAATACACAAATGGGATTACAACAAACTAAGAAGTTTTTTTTCCCAGCAAAGGAAACCATCAACAAAACGAAAAGACCAATTACTAACTGGGAAGAGATATTTGGCAATGATACAACTGATAAAGGGTTAATCTTCAAAATTTACAAAGAATTTATACAACTCAACACCAAAAAAAAGTGTCAATGAGTAACAGCTTAGAGCAGCAGCGCAAGGATTACTAAATCCTTTCTCTCTTGGTTTTGAAGAATGTGTAACTGCCACTAGACACTTCTTCAAAGAGGACATACAGATGGTTAATAGATTTATGAAAAGATGCTCAATGTCACTAATCATCAGAGAAATACAAATTAAAACCACAATGAGATATCAACTCACACCTGTCAGAATGGCTACCATCAATAAATCCACAAACAACAACAGCTGGCAAGGATGTGGAGAAAAGGGAACCCTCATGTACTGTTGGTGGGGATTCAGATTGGTGCAGTCACTATAGAAAACAGTGTGGAGTTTCCTCAAAAAATTAAAAATGGAACTGCCTTTTGACCCAGTGATCCCATTTCTGGAAATATATCCTAACAATCCTGAAACACCGATTCAAAAGGATATATGTACCCTTATGTTCATTGCAGTGTTATTTACAGTAGCCAAGATATGGAAGAAACCCAACTGCCCGTCAGCAGACGAGTGGATAAAAACATGGTAGTACATATATTCAATGGAATGTTACTTGGCCATAAAAAGAATGAAACCTTACCACTTGAGAGCATGAACAGACCTAGAGGGTATTATGCCCAGTGAAATGTCAGTCAGAAAAAGACAAATACCATATGATTTCACTTATATGTGGGGTCTAAAGAACAAAATAAACAAACAAAATAGAAACAGATTCATAGATACAGAGAACAGACTGATGGTTGCCAGATGGGAGAAGAGTTGGGCGACTGGGAAAATAAGATGAAGGGATTAATAAGTACTAATTGGTACAAAACAGTCACGGAGATAGAAAGTCCAGCATAGCGAATACAGTCAACAATATTGTAATAACAATGTGTGGTGCCAGGTGGGTACTGGAAATATTGAGGGGAACACTTTGTGAAGTATATGATGGTCTAACCACTATGCTGTACACCTGCAACTAATACAAAATAATATTGAATGTAAACTGTAATTGAAAAATACAATTTAAAATAAAGAAATTCTTTATGATATGCTTCTTGCCTCTCTCCCTCTTTCTCTCTCCTTCTCTCTCTCCCCTCCCCCCACCCCTCTCTCTCTGGTAAAATAAGCATAACACAGCCATCTTAAAGTGTACAATTCAATGTCATTAAGTTACCCATAATGTTGTGCAATAATTACCCTATCTATCCAAAACATTTTTATTGCCCCAAAAGGAAACCCCGAGCCTGAGTCACTCCTCCCCACCCCCACTCTCCTCCCCTACGGCAACCACCGATCTGCTTTCTGGCTCTATGAGTTTGCCTATTCTGGGTATTTCATATAAATCTAATTATCCAGTATGTGTCCTTTGGTGGCTGGCTTCTTTCATTTAGCATAATGTTTTCAAGGTTATTCCATGTTAAGCATGTATCCTGTTTATGGCTGAATAAATAGTCCAATGCATGGATATACCATGTTTGGTTCAAATGTTGATGGATAAATAGGGGTAATTATTGCACAACATTGTGGGTAACTAGATGCTGTGGACATGTATGTACACCTGATTTCAATTCTTTCGGCTGCATCCCTGGGAGCAGAAATGCCGGGCCACATGTCTTCTGTGAGCTGCTTTGCTCTTCAAGATGCAGAAGGGATACATGGTGTGTTCTGATAACCCATTATCATTTGCAAACTTAACTTGAAATTTATTCCTGCTGCTTGGAAGAAAACCTCAATGTCTAGAATGTGAAGTTATTTGTAATTTTTCTGGGGCACAAATATGAATCAAAATTACTATGAGATGAGCACAGAGGAGCAAATTGCTTCCAACCAGTGTGGGGGGCTGGTGGGCCCGGGGTCTGGCTCAGTCCTGGTTCGGTGGTTTTGGGGTTTTCTGTGCCCCTGGAGGGTGCTGGGAATGACTGTGAAGTAATAATGTTTTTGTTTCTTCATTTAAGAAATGCCAAATAAGTTAGGGAGCCACCGAATGTTACAAAACACAACAAAAACGTGGTTAATCTGTGATGTGTAGGTATAGGCAGGAGAAATACTTAACTCCCTTCAGAAAAAGCAGTTCCCTAGAAATCAGGACTTGGTGGTCAGAGGATGAGGCTCAGCAGCGGCCTGCCCCGGGCCTCCCGGGCCCCATGCCTTCCCTAATCCGCAGGGCTTTCCTTTGTCAATGAGTAACAGTTTAGAGCAGCAGCGCAAGGATTACTAAATCCCTTCTGCTAGCTAAGTGTTTCTCTCTTGGTTTTGAAGAATGTGTAACTGCCACTAAAGCTCGTTTGCCAATGGCGGAAAAGGGAGTTGGAAACTTACCTTGTGTTGAGGTAAGAACTGTCTAAACCTGTAGAGAATATTAGTGAGTTTCTTTGAGCCAAACTGACAATTGCCAAGAAGCAAAATCTCAATGGATGGAGAAAATGCTCTGGAGAAGGGCAGTTCTGCAGCTTATTTCATTCATCAGAATCAGAGGGGGAGGCGTAAGGAGGGCTACATGAACCCACTGTGGTAGATTAGGGGGGTGGCAGCAAGCAAGGCGGGGAGCCTCGGGGAGGGAGAAAAGGCAAAATGGAGAATCACATGCTTCTTTTACACGTGTGGGTACAGGATAGATCATAATTCAATTCCCAGCGCACAGAGATGGTGTTCGGGGAGCAAGGTAATAGTGAGGGCTCTGTGGTCTCCGCTCTGGCAGGAACGAGGGTGAGCCCTGCGGGCCCGGAAGAGGAGATAAGCTGACATTCCAAGCTCTGTTATCTTAGATGCAGAAAGACAACAGCAGCTCAGTTAAGGAAAGAGTGACCTTAGTCAGGGAGGCTACAGGCCTGGGACGTGACTACCGGCCATGCCTCGCTTTTGGTTCGGAAGTTTTATGTCAGACCACCCCATGTGCTTACTGTAGGTCTCTGAGTTTGTGAGGCCACGATGCGGGCCTCCCCTGAGCTGTCAGGTGTAGGGTGTGGCCCCCTTTTTGCCCACGATTGAGTATAACTTTTAGAAAAATGAAGGGGAGTAAGGAAGTGAGACGTGCGTGCTCTGGAAGGAGTCTGCAGACGCTCCGGCGTCACAGCAGCTTGTCTGCTGGCGCCCGGACCCAAACCAGAGCAGAGGCGGGTGGTCGGAGCACCCCCAGCCCGTGCTTTTGGATGATCAGCCTTGGGTAACACCACTCCCGCTCTGATTTATGAACTCTTCTTTCTCCTGGAGAATGATCTAGAATGTCCTGAAAAACAGCTAGAAAGATCCACTAGCCTCATTATAATTCCAAAAGCTTTCCTCAAATTTCATGACAGCTTTTAGGATAAAGTACGCCGAGTGCCTAAGTCACAGCGCCAGCCGCCCGGATGCCCAGCCTCACTGATGCAGACAGCAAGCCACAGCAGCCGGGCTGCCCCGGGCCTGCCACCGCCTCCCAGGCCGCGTGCCTTTCAATGCGCCGAAATAAACAGGAAAGCAACTTTCCAAATCCGAGGGCAAGACCTACAATAAATGGTTAAAGTACGATTTTATTTAGCCAGGCAGGTTGGCCACGGGGAAAGGTCTAAGAGGGGTTATTTGACACATAGGGGAGAAACTGTCTTTCTTTAAAGATTGTAATCAAGCTGCTTTCCACTTGATCTCTCTATGGAGGACAGATCGGTCGCCTGCTCCCAGGGCCCCGCTATC